AAATATGAGAGACAAAGCTTCCAAGGTCATTCTGGTTGCATGTTTTCCAAGACAGACCTGTTCATTTATGTTAGGAATATACTTATTCTCTTTTACTGGAGTGTTCCCTCTTGGAAGATAGAAATCATGTCTTATGAGATTAATCAGAACTGGCTTTGACAAGCACTGTGGCATTTGGACAAGAACAAACTGGTAGGAGGGTAGAGAGAATAATGCAACAATGAATGAATGGAAACCCAAAATCTCTATAAATGTTTATGAAAATTAATAAAATATAATTATAGGAAAAAAAAAAGAAATCATGTCTTATGGACACTTCTGCAGTCCCAAATGAAGAACGAATGATAGTAAAAGGAGAGAACACAAGAACTGATTAGAACTCTTGCTCCCATGCAATTCAACACCAGTACACTTACTCACAGCCTTGCTTTCTACATAAATGGTGTTGTTTGATGCTGTTGAGTACAACTCACAGTGACATTATGAACAAAATCCCTGAATCCTGTTCTACCCTGTGCCATCTTCATCATCTCTGGAACACTTGAGACCACTGGTGCAGTCACCATGTCAATTCACCTCGTAGGGGGTCTTCCTCTCTTTTGCTGATCCAAGCACCTAAGGCATTTTCCAATATTGTAGGTAGTTTACTACCGACTTTTTCTCTGTAAAATCTACCATGGCTCAACTCTTCATTTGCCAATGTCATTCTCATCTCCTTCAGTTATCTACACTTCACGAGGCAGAGAGAACTTAAATTTCTACCTCTGGCAAAAAAGTCATCCTGTAGAAACATATTACCATGAAAATGACAAAAATATTATCTGGATAAGGAGATGTATGTAAATATTTTCACTTGGGATCTTTCTGACTTCCAATCCTGACCTTTTTATGAGCTGGTATATGAGTTTATTTTTCACAGACATGATAAGGAATATAAGTACAGGCTATGTGTCAAAAAAGTAAACAAAGAAAGAGAACAAAGGAAAAGATTCCCATTTAGGACTCTTAGTTCCAAAGCAGGAAATTCTTTCAGAGGGCAGGAAGTAGCTATGAGCTTTCCCTCCAAGCAGTACTTAAATTTCCCCACCCTCAGGGAATGATTATCCTGGTGTTGTTTTAGTTCAGCAGATGCTGAGCAGTTAGAGAAAGGGAACAAACAACTGGAGGAAATACTGCCACCTGTTTATGTTGACTTTTACCAAACAACACTGGCTACCAGCTGTTCAGGCACAAGGGAGGAAAGAAGGTGGGAACAGGAAATGCCAATTTGGGCTAAAGTTAGTTTTTAGCTTTCTTATGTTTTGGTGGGAAAACCAAAAAGAAAGAAAGAAAGAAAGAAAGAAAGAAAGAAAGAAAGAAAGAAAGAAAGAAAAAAACCAATAAAACTCTCTAGTGACAAGAAAGTACACAATCACTGTCAGCTGGTCAAGAGGTAAAAGCAAGATGCAAGATGATACATAGCATTTCACTACCCCTTGGTTTTGTGCACACTGGAAATCAAACATGGCAGGCATGAACTTAATAGTGAATTACGTATAGTATGGTCATTTTCTTCTTCCTTAATTAAACTCATATAATATTGGAGAAGGAGAGGCAGTAATGTCTAATCATAGATGACTTTTCTCAGCCTCTCTCGTAGGTAACTGCTGTCATGTGGCTGAGTTGTGGCCAATGTCATGTGTGTAAGCACAGAGTGTGAGTTCCCCAAAGACATTAAAGGGAGTGTATTGTCCTCTTTCCTCTTGATCCTGTCAGGAATATCACAGTGAAGACTGATTACCAAGTGTCTATTGTAGACCATGAGGTGACCTTGAAAAAGGAACCATGCTGTGGTGCACACAGGAACCTCCATAAGAATATTCTAGAATTCCTTTTAGGATACTTTTGTTTGAGACAGTTATCCTTTGCCTTTAAATTGTTGCTCTTTTGGGTTTCTGTTAAACACAGTCAAGTTTAATCATATATGAGGTACTACAATTATTCTTGGCATTCACATAGCAGGCACTTCATATTCTCCACAGTCTGCTCAATTCTGCTACTTAATTCTATCTTTCTGACAACACTGTAAGTGAGTGGAAGCACCTGTTATGCCACAAAAGGAAACTGGAGTTGAAACAAAGTACAGTTTGCCCAATGCTACACAACTTGGAAAAGCAGTAAGTAAGCTCTGGGAGCCAGGTTACTTTACCTTTAGGATTTCAAAATCATGTGGAAATTGGTGACACATTTCCTTTTAAAAGGATTTTGACTGGTAAGTAGTAGTTATTTTAAAACAAGGAGCACAACCCATCTCTTTTGTCAAAAGGTCTTTCATCAAGGGGACTGTCATCACGGACTTTAAAAACATCAGACTTCCTCCAAGTTGCCTCCAGAACACTTGTGCTGCATTAAAATGAATCACAACTCATTGTATTGTTACAACATTAAAAATGGAATTCTCAAACAGGTTAAGACTCAGTTTGAATAAGCAATTAGTAAAATGAATGTGTTACTATTTTAAAAGCATAACAGACTTGATGATTAATGTAGAGCTGACAGAGTAAAACAAACAGGTAGTTATGATTTCCCCCCCCCCAGTCCCCATCATAAAGCACATAAAACTGACTAAAGAGGTCCACGAAACTACATGAGCCACAGCCTTCTAACTACCTTGCTTCCACTTTTCTGACCAGGGACACAACAGAAGGTCCTGGGTAGAATGGGAGAAAAATGAAGAATGAAAACAAACTCCTAAAAAGGTCAGAATGACTGGACGCACAGACTAGAGGAACCTCTATCAGCCTAAGACAACCTTTCAAGTGGGAATTAAAACTATTTTTGCAGGTCGTCTTTTACCTAAGTAATAGATTGGCTTAGTAAAGAAATAATATTGCCTGTGAATAATGTGCTCTGTTAAACAATTCACTACAGGAGATCCAATAGTCAACAATCATTGAAAAGCAAAGATGAGAAGGGTAAGGAGGGGTAGAAAGGCTACACCAATCAAAACAGAGGAAACAATGGGAATCATGCGAAAGCTGACAGTGAGTTAAAACTGTAACCAAAGGTATGCAACATTTAAACAGTGATTGTTAAAGGGGACCTTAATTCCCTGTGTTACTGGTCACCTAAAAACCAAGAAAACATTACTAAAAACTGCACCAGGTCGATTCAACATAGAAAAATTTTAATGAGGCAAATGTTAAGCAAGCATATCATCAACCTCTTAAAAAAAAAGGTCATTCTGAAAGCTTAATTACAAAACACTTGTACAGAAAACTTGGCATTTCAACAGTTTAAACACATGGACACATTTTTGTTTCCTAAACTTTAACTTTTCAGAAAGAAAACACCTTATCTCTCTTTTCTCACCTGCTCCATGTGGTATTTTTAGTAATAATTTAAAGAAAAGGAAATCTGTAACACTGAATAGGCAACAACTTATTTCTTGAAAAGAACATGTAAGTGCAAACCCAGGTTTCTTAATGACAACCACAGTATCTACAATCTTATCGGGAAACATGAATCAGGTATTGTGCTAGTCTGTAATCTCATTTATCACCTCCTCACTGAACACAGAGGATAGAGGCGGCAGCATGGGTCTGTTCTACAGAGGCTGACAGTTTTGTGACAGCTGAATCCCAGCCACCAGTGAGTCAGGTGTGGAGTTACTAGGAGAGCCAGCATTTCCAAAGCAGCCTGTTTATTTTGTTGAAAGGATTTCAGAATGCAGGCTCTCCTGAGATCTCCTAGAACTTGAATATGCAAATATTTCATGTCAATGTCAAGGGTCCCAACTAGCAGAGTGAGGAGAATGCTGATCTTTGGACCAAGTTACAGCCTTAACTGTACAAAATGGAACACAAAGGAGAAACAGAAATATTAGGAAGACGAAAGGAGAGAAGGGATCTGGCAGAAGGCAGCTACAAACCTACAGACACAGCTTGGATGTCCTTCTGCCACAGACACGGAGTTCTAGCATGGACTTAATAGGAGAGTATGAGAGAAGCTGCAGGAAAAGCAAGTGGAAAACAAGAAACAACAGAAAAGTAAGTTGAATGGGTTTATAGCAATAGACAGTGATGGGGAAAACTGCCAAGAGGTGGTTTGTAGGATGCAGAATGTGGAAATTTGATGTGTGTTCACATATAACATTTGAAAACAAGTATTTTTTGAATAGAAAACAAATTTGCTTCGCAAACTTATTTAGTGCACAACAATAAGTTTTAAAAAACCAAGACTGGCCACCCCCTCCCAGCCTAACCTCTAAGTATTTTGTTGTTTTCCTTTGGGCAAACAGACAAACAGGTAAGGAGATGCTGAGAAGACAGGTAAGGAGATGCTGAGAAGACAGAATGGTCCATCAACATGAGGAGTTTCTGGCTTCCACCCTGGCCTGTGGGCATATTGTGAGAGGGGCCACACTTCCATCCACCTGCTTTCGGTGGCATGGTGCCTGGACAATGGGCACAGCATGCTCTGCTCTGGTTCCAAGGATCGCAGCTGCAACCTTCAGCCTTGTGCTTAAGTGTCCAAAAAACCCCAAACACCCCAAAATTGAAACACAAAAAAAAATCCTGAAGTGAGAATCAGGAGAAACGCCTTCTTTTTCTGCTACTAAATAAACAACAAAACCGAAAAATCCCTCGCTAAGGAAGGAGAACAAAAGGAAGTCTGTCTCTCTCAAATAGATTCAACAATTACAGGCTGCAGAAGGAAGACAATATGAGAATTCCTTTGTGCCCTTTTCTGTCAGCTCAACAGAATATTCTGAATGATGTTTCTACCTGTCTAAAAGCATCAAACAGTACACTTAAAAGACAGGGGCTCCCTCGGTTTTCAGTTATGATTAACGTTGGAATTTCATCAATACCAAACGAGAAACTCCTCTTTTCCTTTCTTTTCTGTTTACCAATGAGCTTTTCCTCAGCAAAAAATGCTAGATATTGCCAACAGATGGAAACAGAAGAGCCTTGCTGGGGCTAGGACAACGTGTTTGTGCAAGAGCAATGCTTAGAAAACAGCAGGCAGTACCAAGGAGGAAGGAAGAGCATTCTCCTCCAGGGCAGCAATTACAAAGCCTCGATGAGGGCTGGCACCCACTGAGCACTGTGTGGGGTAGGAAACACAGCCTCGCTCCACAGGGCACTGTCAACAAGAAGCTACTTTCTTTGGAGTCATAGCAGGGCAATGATGAGAGATGACTGGGCCTGTCCAATGAGAGAAACTCTCTTTCAGAACCCTGCTGAGCAACAAAGCTCAGAGGTCAAAAAATGGAGATGTATAACTTGGTAGGGGTGAAGGGAAGCAAAAAATAACCCCCAAAGACATTAAAAAAGAAGTGACAGCTAGGTAATAAAACTGGCGCTCCACTGATAAAAATGTCCAATCTGAATTACAACAATGGGAAGTCTTCCTTTCTGCTGCAGAAGGTGTCAGTCTCAGGGTCACCTAGTCAGCAGAATATATGCAGATCCACTTTAATAGAAATGGAAATGACAGGAAACAGCAGACGAGAGAGTGGCTGGACACTTTCAAAGCTTCACACAAGGATGATTCCACAGGAAGTTCACACACATGTTCCTTCTGCTGCTCCCTCATATGGCTTCCTGGGGTGAAGGCATTTAACTCACTGATAATTCCTTTCCAGGGAAAGTGATGTGTACTTGCTTCCTTCCCCTATTCAGTTCAAATTTCCATTGATGGCTTCTCGCTCCTCACAAGTCAAACCACTCACAAACATCTTGAAGATATAATCCCTGTAGAATTAAAAAAAAAAAAAAGACACAAGGTAAGCGCTACTTAGAAGGGGTTAGGGCTATAGATTGGGGGTGGGAAGCTTCTTAAGAGTTAAGGTAAGAAGCAGGGGGAATGTATACTAAAGAGCTCATAAAGATACAAGCAGGCAACCTCATTGAGATGTTTCAGGTAACATTTCAATCATAAACATGAACCTGCTCCAGTTCAGCAACAACAGGCAGAATCAAAACAGTCAGCTGAACAGAGAGCAGCAGCTATGAGAAACAAATCTGGTGATGGGAAATTATTATTGCACTCTTTTTTAGGTCAGAGAATGGATGGTCAATCAAATAAAATATTTTTTCAAGGATAAATCTAATGATATCTACACGTATAGAAATGATTTGTGTGGAAGATACCAATAAATTCTGTCCCATTGATAAAAAAATACAATCACTAAAAAGGGTTCCTCTTCAATTTTCAAGTAGTCAAGTACTTATCATTTTATTCAACTGAAATAAAAGAACATATGAGCTTTGACAATCTACAAAAAGTGGTAAAAAAACGTAGTCATGTCTCAAATAATATAAAATCAATCACCAAATCCCTCCTCCTAATCCTCCTTTACTCTAGATACCAGTTAGCCACAAAGAAAGATGACAGTGGAGGCAATTTTTCTCGTTTATCTATAAAAACAATTTAAAAGTGGGCTAAGCCACACAATTAAAGGACTATGTTTATTTTTTCCCTCTTCTATCTATTCTAACACTTTCCTTCCAAAATGTTTTAGTGCTTCCTTTCCCTCTCCAAGTAGCAATATTTTAGAAATCCCACTAGATGAGTATTTAGTTATCTGTGCCCTAGCCCAGGATCACCCGTCAAGATATTTGACTCTTTGGAATGCAGTTTCTTCACAAGTAAAATGCTAGGATTTCTAATGGTCCCTTCTAAGTTCTAATATGCTCTAAAATGCGTACACCATCAGCTTCTCTTCATTCACTGGTGGCTGACATGGATGAAACTTTTGCCAAGCTCATGTCAGCGCAATTAATTGCACCATGAGTACTGGGGACATCAAGAATAGCTATGTGTACAGATCTGTATAACGAGACCAAGCTAGTATTAATCACAATCTTCATAATTGTTTTATTTTTGGCAGTTTTGCAGTTGTGAGGAACTATCTATTCCTAGTCTTGGTTGCATAGGGAGAATGTAAAAATCTGTAGCAATATAACTAATTCATATTTTCATGTATTATTTTTTTAAGAGCAAAATATTTATAAGTTAAAATCAAGTGTAATAGTGACATTCTCAGCTTACTAAAACACTTAGGAAGCAAAAGCTATAGTATATATCTTTAGGATGAGTAAAATTTTAAGAGAACCTTATTGGCAAAATGCTTACAAGAGAAAAACATTTTGGCTCAGTACTTGAAGTAAATGCCCTATACCTACGTGAGGAAACACCATGTTATCAATTACTGTGTTCTTTCACAATCTTCCACAGTTTCTCTCAGCTCTCTCTTTTCAAGTCTACAAGAGTGCTAATTGAAAACACTGTGTGAAAATGAGAAGGATGATGAGCTCCTGAAAATCCCAGGCCTAGATTTACAAGCTGTTCCCTTCATAAAAAGCAGCAGTAATGCTACTTCTTTATTCTGCAGGGAATCCAGCCATCTCTTAGAAGGATAGTCCGTTCCATCTGGCTACTCACTAGAAGGACGGTAATCCTTTCCCCATCAGAGCACGGCGGAGGCTAAAGTATAATGAATTGCCTATACAGTCACCGTCCAAGAGCGCAACCAAAAAGGATAAAGACTTCTGCCTTTGTCTCTGTTAGCAGATGTTGCCTCATTAGACAAAGACTCACAGATTTTAGTTATTATTATACATATTGCTCAAATTGTAAGCTACATTGGTATGTATAAGATCAAAAGGTTATCAGCTTGTGGAAAGGCATACTAAAAAGGATCCTCTTAAGTGCAAAAACATCACTTTAAGAAATGGTATCTATAAGTAATTATTAGTACTGAAAGGTTTACAGAAGCAGTTATTTTTGGAATGTACATTTTCTATTCTGAAAGGATCTGACATATTACTCATTTTTGGTGTAATGCATTATTTTAAAAGTTTCTTTTCTTTTCACTATTTACTGAGAGCCTGGTCATTTTGTAATCTGTAAAACAATTTTACTACAGGGTTAGCTCATATTAACATTTGACATTAATGACACTGAGTGGTGAACAAAGAGCTGCTTATTATTCAGAGGGACAGACACACTATCTTGTTAACAAATTATTTGTTAGAAATTATCCTTGATATTTCCCAGGTAAAATGAAGGCTAATAATTCTGTTTTGCTATAAGTGTAACTCCTGGATGACGTTAAGATTTTCATTCACTCTTCAAAATACTTTGGAAAAATAAATGTCTAAGAATACATCTAACAAGTGGCAAGGCCAGAACCCAGGTTCAACCACCCAAATCAAGGTTTCTCCATTAAGTCATGTTGATACAAGCATGAAAACAAAGCCAAAAATGAACCCAAAATGGTCTTGATTCTCTGTTCTGTAATATTATTTAAAACACTTAACATTCACATGGAACAGAAATCTTACATCAAGTCGGCAACTCATTTGCTCTATGTAATTCCAGCATCTTTGCAGTGAATACTCACCACTCCCTAGCGATCAAGCCTGTTCACAACTTCTCGAACTGTAGCTATGAAGTTTTCATTGTCCTGGGGATTTGCTAAAATAATACTATGCAGTCTGTTCATATATGAATCAATTGTATCCACTGTAGGTGTTTCTCCACTTCCTGAAGTGTGATTAAAAGAGAGAGAGTAAGAGTATATTCTCCATTCATTTAACCATAAAACAATTACCTGAGTTCACAGAGAGATCATTAACTCTAATGTGGTCTGTACCACAAACAAACTTATACTTTCAGAAGACGGATTTTTAGATTTTAAAGAAATGAAATTAATCCACATACCCCAAATAATCAGATTAACTATATAACCGCTAGCCAATACAGATGAGCAACTACACAAACTCTCAGTTATCTGCTAGGACTATCTTTAAATGATAGCATATACAAGGAACATTACTGTTTTCCTCTCCCTTGTGATTAAAACAAAACCAAATAAAAGCATGCCAACATATACATGCAAGAGTGCTCTAGTCAGGATTTATTACTCAGTTTTCATTGTTCTAAATTTCAAGCTATATTCAATAGAAAGAAAAGTATATTGTGTTATAATGTAAGTGGGAAGAAATGTAAATGACTAGAGAATCTGAAATACTGGATGATTTTAGCTGATACACATTCTATTACACAACTCACAGAAAACTCTTGAGGGAGAAAAATGGATATTTTATAGATTTTCCTCTTGTGAGATATTTAAACCTTGCCACACCAATACCATCATAAATAGTTAATACAGCCCCCTTTCCACCAAGTCTGTTCTCCCTGAAATGTCATTACCAGGCAAGGGCATGCTGGCAAAGCTGCTGGTCAACACCTGCCGCAGGGTCTCCAGGTGCTGCTGGAGGACTGTGTTGCGGCTCCGCTCCTGGATTACATCCACCTCCAGCTTCTCCACTGCTGTGCGCATGCTCTCCACATGCTTTTGCAGGGCTGCATTCCTCTCCTCAAACTCCATGTTGGACTTGCGAAGCTGGCGAAGCTCGGCCTCCCGGGCTAAGGACATATACCCCACAGAAAACATGTAGCACAAGGAGGTGTCTTTGAGGAATCTCAACGACTCTAATTAGAAGTTTTACTCAGCTGCCTCTAATTAGAATGTGCTTAGCTATCCCACCTCATCTTCCTAGTCTCACTATGGCTTTCCATATAATAATTCCAGCAAGGAAACACCTGACTTGCTAGAGCTATTTTAATTTCTGAAAGCTGGTCATATACTATATATAAGATTGCAAGGACACTTGAAACCCCTTAAATTATTAAAGCAGTAGTTTTTGTTTGTATTTGCTTTTTAAAACTATGTAGTGAAGAAAAGAACAAACATGTATGTCTTGTAGAAAGTGCAACCAGAGTGCTAACTGGAGGCAAGGATGGTGAAGCACTGTCTCACACACTTTGAGCATGTTGTTGTTAGGTGGCCCTATGAATGACAGATCTGCACACTGTCCTATCCTGTGCCATTTTCCTAATTTCTGAGATACTTGAGGACATTGTTGTAGTCACTGTGTCAGTCCATCTGGTTGAAGGTCTTCCTCTCTTCTGTTGACCCTCCACCTTTCCAAGCACGATGTTCTTCTCCAAGGAGCAGTCTCTCTCCCAGCAACACCCACAAAGTATGTGAGATGAAGCTCTGTCATCTTTTGCCTACAAGGAGCACTCTGGATGTATTTTCTCCAAGATATATCTGTTTAGGCAAGTTGTTAAGAAGAGCTATTTTTTTGGAAAGGAACATCATGCTTGGAAAAGTGGAGCATCAGCAAAAGAGAGAAGATCCTCACAAGATGAAGTTACACAGGGACTGGGCTCAAGTATGCCAGAGAAGGTGAGGATGGAACAAGACAGGGATGAGTTTAGATTTCTTGTAATACAGGTCACTATCAGTTATACCAGACTCAATGGCACCTAACAACAACAACAATGTGAAAAGCCTGAGGGGTTTCACAAAGGACTTAGAGATCGGCCAGTACAGCTAAGGGTCTTCATATTCACTGCAATGGGGGTCAGCATTGGTTTGTCTTATATTAATTTTGGATTCCCAGATATGCTTTCATTTGTATAAAAGGTTCCATGACCAAGAGTTTGAAAACAACTAGATTACGGAATTATATTTATTCCCTTTGATCCAGAGACCAAAGCAGCTTTGATAATTCTGGCCTATCTTTCTTTACTGGTGTTTAAAATTAGTGATTCTGTCTTCTAGACAAATTCCAAGCAGCCATATCACTACCGCCTTTGAACAATGAATTCTTCCTGAGAACTGAATCCCCTATCACACACCTGAGGGACATAAAAAGATCTTGAGTAATCACCTTTGCTGTGGTTCAGGAATTCCTCTGTAAATATAGGGATGTCAAAAACAGATCGCTCTTTTACCTCTTCTTTCTGTGAATCAAAAGTAAAAGAACAGTTCATTATTTTTGGTGTTGTTTAACTTTATTTTGTTGTTAAGAATCCACACATCAAAACATCAATTCCATAATTTCTACATGTACAATTTAGTAACAATGATTAGATTTTTCGAGTTGTACAACCAATCTCATCCTCCTTTTCAAACAGTTCATTTAATAAGTAAATGCAAAATTAAATAGTGCTTGAAACAGGAGAGTGAATAAGGCATCAATCTAGGTAAGGCTCCAAATGAAACGTATTCCCCTTTCTACTGAAATTAAACTTCCATATGAACTCAAGTAGATTAAATATTCCGTTTTCTTAGATGCACAACTATTATGCAATGAGAAACCTTGAAAATCTACACAAATTTCCTTAGTGAAGAACTGGGAAGTCATTTCTTAGCTGTGACATGAATAGTCAATAGCATACAGTTCGGAAATTGGGTGAAGAAGGAATTGAGAAAAGAAATTTTGAGGTGTTTTTCCAATCACTATTACTGGCTATGCATAGAAAATACTTTCTGACTAGGCAATCTAATTTTGTGTAGCAGACAGTAAGACTCTAAAGTAGAGATTGGCCAGCCACTATGAGCAGTAATAATGGTATTCCACTGGATATAAGGTATTTCTACTTATTTACTGGGACAGAATATATTTGGGGTTCTTTTGGTTTTTTCCCCCACTCCCAAACACAGGGAAAATGAGCAAACAAAACCAAGAAGACAGAGATAATCAGGTTCTGAAAATGAGCAAACTAGCTAGGTATTATGAGACAGAAAAGAGTAACAATGTTCAAGATTAATTAATAAGTCATTAAAAACAGTCTCCAAAAACACTACAAAATATATTGCACAATGATTCTTAAAAATATAGGCAATATTTTAAAAATGTGTTGGCTGCTATTTCAGCAATGAATTAAAGTTGAAAGCATTATGAATAAAAATTATAAGCTTCCTGGCACAGTATTTAAAATCTTACATAATCCAAGATGTTAAAAAGAACAGTGAGAAGTACGTACTGAAGAAACAGCTACTGAAATCTGAAGTTTTCAAAACCTCTAACATGAAGAGCTATTAAAAAATACCTTGAAATTAGTCTTATAAAACATGTTTAAAGCAAGAGACAGAGTATATTTTTACTACTCATGTAACCACTAGTATTTTACCTCTGAATACTTTGGGCATTTAATAAAAAGTCAAATATGATTTGGTGTGCAATAGCGCCTATTCTGACAGTCAAGTTTCTGTTTTCATATTGGCATCTGTTTATAAAGAGGCTAAGCTTTGTGAACTGCTTGCTAATGGCAGTTGATCAAGATAAGCATCTAATATGAAAAGCTGAAAAAATATGTACAGGTATGTGGTACTTAATGCCCACAATACATACTCTCAAAGAAGATGGCATGATTTGGACATTATACAACAATAAATTAAAGCTTTATGGGATTAAATGAAAGCTTCTGGGTCATCCTTGTCATTGCTGCTGCTGGAGGTGCTGGTGGAGTTTGGAGGAAGGGCAGGTGGTAGCAGAGTTTAAGAGAGCAATTGCAGGAGGAAGGGGAGAGAGAGGCAGGGAGAAAGCTGAGTATTTCAGCCCCTTTTGGTGTCCAGCTCACCTGGGTACTGGACAAAGCCTGAGAGTTCATGCTGAGACTCATGTCCTCTGCATTACCTGACTGTATCCTCCTTGTGGTCTAGTGCTACTAGATTCTTGAGTCTAGGATTTTTAACACCATAAGGAAGGAATAATAAATAAAAGGAGAGCTGCTCTCTGTTAAAAACAACACCACTTTTGAGACCATTAACTATATATGAAATCTGACAAGACTATATATGCAGTCAGACAGATGTTGATCAAGCAGATCTTAAGCAATACATACCTGTATTTACCCAAGGAAACGTAAAAGACCTTTCAATATTTACCCTATTGTTTATCTCCTACAGAAAGAAAGTAAAGTTTTTCAGAGCAATGTAAAAGCTCTACCTAAACCAGTACCTGGTGGAGACCAATAGGATTCTAATGTATAAGTAAGAAAGTCTAATCTTGGCATGTATAAGTCATAACAAATAAAAATATAAGTTCACAAGTAATTTAGGATAAAGTCATACAAGCTTGTACACAATCAGGTGCCTAGCTATAGGTCTAAATATGGATGTAACACACTTAGAGATGCTTGGCTTCTGTTACCATGGTGTAAACAGCCCTCTCCAAGGGCAGAAGGCTACATCCTCCTCACACTACCTAATGGATCTTTTATTTTCTTTGCCAGAGCAGTCCAAATCAAGTTAACTATGGAAGGGCAGAAGATACACAAGGCAGGTGCACTTACACATTGCCCCTTGGTGACATTCCTGGAGTGCAAAATATGAAACATTAAAGCAATTAAAGAGAACTGTTCAATCTCCGAAAGGCAACTGAGAAATTCTACTTAACGGAAGAGTGGTAATAAAAACCATCAGCACTCTTCCATTACTGAGAACATTACTCGGCATGGCAGATCCTCCTGGGGGCTTGGGTACACTTAAGCTACTCTGAGTATTGCTCAAGGGAATAAAATCACACGGATTTGATTACCTCTTCATTGAAAGGGTCTAATTTGTTCAGGCTGAGTGTCATTTTGTCATTTCTCATAAATTAAAGGAGAAACAAAATTATTGTTTCTATCTTAGTCCTCATCCAAGACGTAGACAAGTTCCTGAATGTAACCCTAGCTGACCCCTGGGTTTAGTGGATCGTCTTTTGATTAGAGAGGAACACTTTGGTTTTCATTCTATATATTGAGAGGAGGGTAAGAGAACAGAGGTCCTTTTGAGTTGAACTTGTTTTGTTGTGATCTAGGCTCAGAGCCAGAATTTTATAGTATGTGATATGCTTATCTCAAGTACCCTTTACTTCAGGGAATGCTCTTTATATTGTGTACTGGGCTGAAGTGCTTCACTTTATGCAGAACGACTTTCTGGCCAGCATTTCTTTAGCTCTAACATGCATTCTCCAGTACCTGCCCTGAGAACAACATCTTAGGAATCCAAGTTCTATACAGGAATACACTAGGTTTTATTACTATATATAAACAAGTGTCTAACTAGTAACAAATTCTGCTGACATATCCGGCAACCAGGATCATTTTAACCTTCAACATTGTTTAGCTTACTTTATATAGTGTGTGAGGTGCTGCCAAGAATGCTAGACTGGGACACAGAAGGAGGCTTCAGTTTCAGTCAGACTTCTCCCTCTACATAATAAATGAGTAATTCTGGTAAGTTCTTTCCTGTCTTAATTTTCCTTTACTGGTAAAAAAAGGAAGGGAGCAGGTGACAGGAGGATCTCTGAATTCTTAGCATTCTAAGATGAGCTTTAAGATTATTTTACTAAAAATTTCTCAATTTACTCCCCAGAGAGTACATAAAGGGAAATAGGCTATTTAAAATCTATGATGTTTCAGGCACTTTCCCAGATACTACTTTTACGTTATATTAACTTATTCATAGCTCTGCTCAAGTCATTTCACCCATTCTGTGCACTCTGTGACCCCAATACACACAGAAGACGACCTGGTTACCTGTAAGAGAGTGTTTCTTGTGATGTAGGCATTATTAACAGAGAGATGTACAAAGCCCACTGCATACACATATGTCAAACTCCTGCTGGCATTTCACCTGCTATCTCTGTACTTTTGTTTGCTTGTTTTAACATGTTTCTAATTCTGAATTAATCTGCAAGGATTTTTAGACTCTGTCTCACATACTTTGGGCATACAGTGAGGAGGGACCAGTCTTTGGAGAAGGATATCATGCTTGGAAGGGTGGAGGGACAGTGCAGGAGAGGAAGATTCCAGATGAGATGGACTGACATAATAATTAGGGGTAACGAGGGTAGGTGTGTTATAGAGACAGTGAGATTGGCTCAGGACAGAGTAGAGTTCAGAGCTATTGTGTATAAGGTTGCTACTAGTTGTAGTTAATTGGACAGCACATAACAACAATAACAACATAAGCCATGAAAATTACTATTATATTACACAACGTATTTCAAGAAAAAGTGTTATTTTTCAAATTATTGGCAGTAGCATCAATAACTGACTTAATCTTTCCTGACTCAACTTTACTAAGGATAAAAATGCCTAATAAACATAAACACATAGTTTGACCAGCAAAATCTATGTGATAAAACTAATCACATAATTCTAACTGAATGAAAAACTGTACAATATGAAGTTTAATGTTATAGGTAACTGTCCAAATTCTCTTTTGTAGCCATTACATATGGAGACCCTTTAAAGGATGCTTAATACAAAATAAAAGTACAGGAATGTCATGATATTGGTAGGTGGGCAAAAAGATATAAAAGAAGAGACAAAGAAGTAATTATCCAAGTATTCCGTTGTATGAAAGGTTTGCAACATCATTCAATCACAAATTATAAAGTCTACAAACAAAATTGTTTAACCAAAAGCATTTCATCTTAATTAGGGCACACAGATACTATATGTGAATAAATTTATAAAGGATTTAAATGAAGAATAAAATAACAATAATAATAATAATAAATTTTTATAATTCAGTAACAAACACTAATTTTACTTGTGAATCGAACATTTTCTTTATGTTTCAAAAATCACCAAGTACCAAATTAGGAGTGGAATCTAAGATCTCAAGATAAAGCCATTTTGAAGAAAAAAGTACCCAAAATAATTTCAGAAGAATTCATTATAAAATCACATTTTTCTAAATTCATACTGTTATTTCAAGTCAATCTCTAATGAGTTCTTTCCTAGAAATGAAGAAACAAAAATTTAAAAAAGAACAGAGAAGGTAGTAGAAAGAAAGAAAATTACAGAGCTGATGATCAGGGTCCCAATTAACATGAGATTCTTTATTCTTTGAGCTCTGGTGGCCTAGTGGGTAAAAGGTTGTACTGCCAACCCAGAGCAATCTCCATCTGTATGATTTATAACTTCTGAAAACCCACTGGAGGGTCGGCTGTGAGTTGGTTCTTACTCAATAGCACATGACAACAACAACAATTCAGCTTTTAGGCTCTTAATATGGTTAAGAACAAACCGTTTTTGGGAAGGCAAAAATCCAATCTTTTGCTTGCTTTCTAAAATAGTCTATTTTCCTCCTTTCTTAAGGGATCCTGAATTCAGATGTAACATGTAATATAAAAAAAGAGACACTGAGTTTATTTAAATAAAAAAAAAGCTCACATAAGAGATATTGTTGTAATTTACTAGCTTGAATTACTATTATTTTAAAAAAAATTCACATGGATCAATAAGAAAAATGACTTTTCTCTTTATGTTCAAACCCTTGTAAGGCTGTCATGTAAGCAAATGTTTATATGAAAGGCATAAAAAAGTATTTATATTCTGTCTCAGATATGCCTGATCCAGGTCATCATCTTCATAATTATTTGCTATGTGTCAGAAAGCTGGATGATGACTAGGGATGATAGTCCTTTGAGCTGTGGTTCTGGAGAAGAGTACTGAATATACCATCAACTGCCAGGACAACAAACAAGTTTGTCCTAGAGACGGTGAAGCCAGGCTGGTCCTTGGAGACAAGGATTCTGAGGCTTTCTGACATACTTTGGGCATGTTGCAAGGAGGGACAAGTCCTTGGATAGGGACATCATGCTTGGAAGGGTGGTGAGATGATTCAGTGACTGGAGTAATGGAGGTAGGTGTGTCCGAGACAGTAAGATTGGCACAGGACAGAGCAGGGTTCAGACTTGTACACAGGGTTGCTGAGTCCCAAGTGACTTGATGGCACATAACAACAAGAACATCTTCATCATGTAAAGGTATCATACAACATCTTCACCATGTAAAGGTATCATGCTAGGTGGTACAAGGTTATATACAAAGCTGAAAACTAGAGTAGGCATGCTCTCAAAGAGATTACACTCAAGGAGGGGAATAAAAGAAGCATTCAAATAACCTAGACAAGAGACAGGGTCAGCTAAGTGCATAGATGTACAGAGATCTGGGAGTGCTAAAGGAAGTTAGAGGCAAACAGGAAAGGCTTAAAACAAGAAATGGAAATTGAATAGAGATTGAAGGATAACCAGAATTTTTAGAGTGAGAAATGGGAGGATGGAGGAGGTGGAAGAAATGTGTGAGGAAGAGAAAGTGTTCTCATGAAAGGAACAATATGAGCACAAACAGGAGGTAGACGAGGGTTGAGCATCTGGAGGACAGTGAGTAGTCAAGATTCTTAAGCACATAATATTTATGGAAGAAAAATGGGTGTTAAGGCATTTGAGAAGAGACCTTGCTGAGCTTGACCGTGATCTGCTAAGAAACAGGGAGTCCCTGAGAGTTTTAAAAGCATAAATTAACACAAATTATAGATTCTGTACAACCATATATTAAACACAGGCTACATATATATTTAAAGCACTTTACGAAGCATAGCAAATGCACACAGAAACACAAACCTAAATCTTATATATAGTGTTGAACTATATGGAGAAGAGGCCAGTAAGCAAACATAGGCGAGTTAGGTGAGGGACTAGGAAAGGTGGCAAAAACATAGGATATTGTTTCTTAGGCTTTGTGTCTCTACTGTAGTTGCACAGTCCATTTTAACTAAATGTTTTGAGGCCCTACATAACTAACCTTTTAGATAATGGTAAGCTATGGTCAAGGTATAGCTTTACAGTAAGTCCTCATTCCTATCTCTCATTCCAAATTCTATCTATAGTTAACACTTAAAGTCAATTAAATTCCTGGGCCATTAGAAAGGTTGGAGTTCCAAGACAAGACTCATGGCATAAAGATCTGTCATGTGTCAAGAATTCCCCAGGTAATGCAACTTCCCTAGTAAGAATTATGGGATAGGAGACACTAGGCCATTCATAAAAGGAAATAAATTGCAGTAACATTTCACACAGCAACATTGTGAGACACACACAGAAAGCTAATTACCTCATGATCATGAGTGGCCTGTCGGGCTGCATCTAAAAATAAGTAAGAATTAGAGAATATTAAACAAAACAGACAAACAAAAGATGCACAAAACAAGCACTACCATGTAAAATTATAAAACTGTTAGTATCATAAGGTTTTCACAATGTATGACATTTTTCCTTATGGTTTTGGTTAGCAGTGCAACAAGGCTATAGATGAAGCCAACAGAATCTCATTCTTTTCTTATAGTTTTATTAATTAGGTTGGCCAACAAATGCTAAAGGGAAACCCTTACCTATGTAATATATATTCGGCACAAGGGGAATGGCAGACACAGCTCTTATTTTTTTGAGGGGGATAGAGGTTAGAAAATATATACCAAAGTCCAGTTGCACATTAGTTTTAGGAAGTTAGATGCTCAAGTTTGAAGATAAAGTAGTTAAGGAACTGAGAGATTAGCTGGAAGTGGAACTTGTTGGCAGTGCAACCTGAGGAAGGGGAACTCAGAGACAAATGATTAATAAAGAAAAGAGAGTCATGAGATACAGATTTTGTTCTCCTTGTTCACTGCTATGTTCTCAATAACTATGAGGAAGTTTGACATAAAAGAAAGTGCACAATAAATATCTTTTTAATGAATGCATACGTGAATGAATAAATTAATGGATGGCCACTGGAGAATGAGACAAATGATTTGTTAAAAGTACAAAGGTATTAAAGGTAGTTTATGCAGCTTAGGAGATAGACTTCTGTGGAGGAAAAGAAAGTCCTAAACTGGGTATTAGGGATAAAAGGGTAGGCAATAAATATGGATCATGAAGCAAAAGCGCAACTGTTGACACTGGCTAATTTCTGGATGAGAATAAAGTTATTTTACCAGAATTCTAAGAAGATGCTTTAAGTGAATATAGGATAATACAGAGATGACAGAAACTCTTATTTTAATCACTCTAATAGCCAGTTTGGTGAGATTCTTTCATGCACAACAAACTAAATACACTTGGTTCTGATACCTTGTCTATGAGATTTGCCTTTCTGACGATCCTGGGTTTTCCTACTGAAGACCTTGTATGCCTCAGTCTTCTGATACTGTTCCAGTTCTTTCATGTAACGTTCCTTATCTCTGTCTGCTTCATCAAGATAGCGCTAGGAAAGAAATATGAAATTATTTTCAAGAAACAGAAACTGTACTTAGTTAAAATGTGATATATTTGATGAAAACAGAGGATAATGACAGTCTGAATAGAAAGGCTGATAAGCATATAAGCAATAAGCTCTTAGGGATAATCAGAAAAATAAGAATCATTATCAATAGAATAACATACAAACAAAGAAATAGGTGATTCTGACTGCCTGGACTATTTATTGTGTTTTCCAACCCAATGAGGATAAATTCCATTGAGATCACTCTTATTAAAAATTAACAAAGGAGATGAGCCTTCCTCTAACCCTACAGCTAGAACTCCATGTGGCCACTACAATCTTCATGAGAGCTGAACATCACATGGACATTGTTCCCACGGGAAGGAACGGAATATTGTTTTTCTATTCCTAACCCATTGTAAGGGGATGATCTCATACATCAATTGGTCTTTTAAGAGCCTGAAGAGCAGAGCATTAAAGAACATTAAAAAAAAAATGACCTCATCTTATGGACCCCAAATGGACTACTTTCAGAAAGCTTCTATCTACATGCTTTGATTGCTTAGTTTCATTAATTATTTAAACAAAGTTCATTGATCTACCAAGATTATTTTGTTTAATGATTTGTCCTTTTCATTCATCAATCAGGTATAAAAATACTAGAAGAAGAAACTGTCTTGTGTTAAAAACCTTGTCCCACATTAAGAGTCAGATGCAAAGGGGACCTCAATGGCCAGATATGGGGCAATTTAAGCATCAAAATAACTAAACAAGTAATGAATTATAAGCCATTCGGGGAAAAAAATCTGAGTTCATATAACTACACCAACAATAGGTAAATAAACTAATGGGAGAAAGAGGATGGTTCTTACTCAGAGTGAAATGGTAAGGGGCAACTGCTACGATATAAACTGTAGAGGAGAAAAAGAATTTCGTAACCATCATGGAATACGGGTGGTAGATTAAAAGTATTATATTAATATACAATTATAAAGCTTCTAACTATACTGTAATTATGTAAGAAAATATTCTCAGGAAATTCAAACAGGGGTTTTAGGGATAGAAAGGGCCATTATTTTCAAAAGATTCAGAATAAAACTCTGAGAATGCATAAGGTAGTAAGTGCAAGTGGAGAAATGAGATAAAATGTTAATAAAAGGTGAATCTAGGGAAAAAAGTATTTCCGTGTTCTTTATACTACTTTTATTGCTGCAACTTTCCTAGTTTTGCAATTATTATAAAGGAAAAATTTAAAAAACAAACAAAAAGCTTATCCTACCTAATGAACAAAGAGCCCTGTTAGCACAATGGATAAGGGCTTGGCTGCTAACTGAAAAGCTAGGTGTTCAATTCGCACAGATCCTCTGAAAGACAAAGCCCGGTGAACTGCTCTGTAAAGATTAAAGCCTAAAAATCCTCTGCAGCATGTCTACTGTCATAGAGGATCATCAGGAGTTGAAATATATTCAATGATACCTAACACTGGTTACACCTACAGATAGTTACTACTATTTTTGCTTTTATCCTTTATATATTATTGTCTGAAAAAATGATATTAAAAAATGAGCATATACTGATTTTGAAAGAAACCAAATAAAAAAAAACAAAACAAAACACCCACCCACTGTGCATATGGATTACAATCCCTATCTACAGTACAGCCAAGTAACAGAAGATATAGCCTGTTTTGTACTAGCTTGTTAACATAAATGTTTACAAGGCTTCAATTTGCAAATTAATCTGATCTCTTACAACTCCCTTAATCATTACCATCACTGCTTTTGTCATTTCAACCAGCTCATAGCTGTATCACCCTTAATTCCCTTCAAATCTCTCTAACAAATGAATTTGTTTCACTTTTGGCAGTAGTGTTAGTTTCTATTTTGGAGGAGAGAGATAATTCAAGCAGTACTTGTTTCATTTCCATAGTAGCTTAAATTTGCCAGGACTACACTTAAAAAAAAAATTCTTAAAACATCAAACTAGTTTTTTTTAAACTATTTTAAAAATATTATGTGAACTACTGAATTTTTTCAAATGACATCTTGGCATTTTCTCATTTAACTCATGACGTTTTTCCTTTAATTCAGTGGAATAAATTATGTTCTAAGGTTTCTGAACAAAGAATTACATTTTTTCCCTTATAATCTATGTGAACTTTAAGGATACAAGAGAGATAAAAATGGAGCTGCTTTGGTTGAGGTGTCCTAAGTCCCTCCTGCTTACACCCTTTCAACAGACCCTGAGATAATTCTAAAATCACTGTCCTAGAAAAAAAGAGGAATGACAGATCCTGCTATTCTCATCTCCAAGACAATTTTGTGACCAAACCAGAGATTCTACCATGTATCCTCTTTGTTTCTCTGACAGATGTTATTTTATTTATATATGTAGGAAAGTCTGCTATTAGAGCCCTCTCTAAAATACTGAAGAGCAACAGTGTCAGTCTGGAGACTAAGGTGCGCCTGATACAGGCCATGGTCTTTGTAATCACTTGCTATGCATCAGAGAGCAGGACAATGGCTAGGAATGATAGAAGGAGAACTGATGCCTTTGAGCTGTGGTGCTGGAGAAGAGTACTGAATATACGATGGACTGTGAAGAGAACGAACAGGTTCGTCTTAAAGAGGGTTAAACAAGGCTGCTCCTTGGAGGCAAGAATTCTGAAGCAAGCTCCACCTGACATACTTTGGGCATGTTGCAAGGAGGGACCAATCCTTGGATGGGGAGGTCATGTTTGGGAGGGTGCAGGGACAGCACAGGAAAGACCCTCCATGAGATGGACTGATTCAGTGACTGGGGTAATGGGCGTAGGCATGTTAGAGGCAATGATATTAGCAAAGGATAGAGCAAGGTTTAGGGCTATTGTACACAGGGTTGCTATGAGTTGCAGGTGACTCGATGACACATAACAACAACATATATATACACATATGAATATGTATGAATGGATGGATAGATAGATATAGATATAAAAATCAGGCAAAGGATTACCTGTTTTTCCTCAGGAGGCAGTTTACTCCATTCATTGCCCAACATCCTTGTAATTTCTGGAAACGGGACCTCTGGTCTCTTTGCTCGAAGCTGTTCTCGACGCTCATTCATAAACCGGACATATCCTGTAAGGGGGGATTTGGGTGCATTGCTGTCTCTAAGAGGTTTCTTCCTCTTTCTTCCTTTGGACCAACCCCCTCGTTTACTTCTTTGCTAAAAGACAAATGAAATAAAAAACTAAAACTCAAACAACAACAAAAAACTCGAAAATAAGATAATGTTATGTATGTATATATACACACACACACACACACACACACACACACACACACACACACACACACTTTTGGGCTGTTGAGTTGACTATGACCAATGGATCCAAACCCTGCCTTATTCTGTGTCAACTTCATTATTAAAGTCACTGTGTTAATCCTTCTCCTTGAGGGTATTCCTCTCTGCCATCAACACTCACCTTTCCAAGAAACTGCCCCTTCTAACAATGTGCCCTAAATATGTGAGACCAAGCTTCACCCTCCTAGTCTCCAAAGAGCACTCAAGCTGCACTTTTCCCAAGATGTATCTGTTTGTTCTTTTGGGAGAATATGGGATATTCAATACTATTCTCCAGCACAACTCAAAGGCATCAATTCTTCAATCATCCTTAGTCATTACCCACCTTTCTGATGCATAACAAGTAAATTAAAAGACCAGGATTTGAATCAAGTGCACCTTAGTCTTTAAACAGACATCACTGCTCCTTAACACCTTATAGGTGTCCCAGACAGCAGATTTACCCAATGCAGTATGTTTTTTTATTTCTTGACTGCTGGTGCCAAGGTATTGATTATGCATCCAAGAGGAAATTACTGACAACTTCGATCCTCTCTCCAACTATCATGATGTTGCTTACTGGCCCAGTGGTGAAGATTTTGTATTGCTCACGTCCCTAGCATTGCTAACCCACTGATTACTGTGCAGGAGAAAAATGGGTGGTCTCCTATCTAACTCATTGCCACAGAGTCACTCTCTACTGGGATTCCCAGGGCTGTCAGCAATAAAAGGAGAAGACTGTCCATTTTCTCTTGCACAGTGACCAGTGGATTAGCAATGCTAGAGAAATGTTAGCAGCACAATTTGCTACAGAATTTGCCATCAGGGTTCCCTTCCTATCATGAAGATTCTGGATATTAAAAGCTCTCCAAATCTGCCAATAGTACAAATGACTGCAGTTTTCAATTATGAACTCCAGACTGTTCACTTCCAGGCCCTTTTATGCAGCACAGTATAATTTGATGCACTCAAAGAGTATTTTGTGCCAATCTCAATAGATAAGAGTGTCATGATCACCTAAGCTGACATCTTCATATGTACTTTACAGGTCCTGGTTCTCAACAGATAATATGCTAAATGAAAAACAGTATAGCACATACAACACTGTGCCAGAGAAAGACACACTGTCACAGCAAACCAGAACAAGATGTTGTCACATGCACTGGACAAAAGAGGAGAGAGCTTGTAGCACAGGGATTAAAAAGAATTCAGGAAGCATGCTCTCACTTTGATAACCAGTCAAAGTCTAGTTTATTTCCCAAAGCAGACAAGTTAATCTTTTAACTTAATATTTAACTCTTAGAAAAATTTTAGTTAAGTATTATATATCCAAAATGAAGGCTAGTGATTTGTAAAATGATATGTTCTTTAATATGCATATTCTACAAAGTGAGGTCTTTATATTTTGAGTTAAATTAAGATTAAATCACCTCTATAAAGGATTAAAGTAAGGACTGAAATACCAATTTAAATAGAAATCTTTGATATTTTACCAGTCTTCCCCCCACCTCCTTCTTCCTTTTAAATAGAAGGGAACTACTGCCTCGGCCCATATGGAATCTTTGTGTGAAGTAGAGAAAAGGGGCCCCTTATGAATACTTTGGCAAGTGATATTAATCCTTTGGACACATATGGCCCTGTGCTAGGCCTCGGTGAGCAGAATGTTCCCTTGAACAAGTATGACAGACAAACACATCATTAATTATCTAAGGAATCAAATAAATCACTCAATTCAATAAACATTTATTGAACATAAGTACATATATACATTTTTTTTTAGGAAGGAAGAAAAAGTCCATTTTTTATTTATGAAAATGAAGAAATATAAAGCATAAAATGTTGTAGATATCAATCTAAGAATGTGAGAAAATTCAAGTGCATAAATTTTTAAAAAGAAAATAATTTTTAATTATCTAGTAAAATGATTATATATATGTGTGTGTACACACACACACACACACACACACACGAGCATTAATGACTTAGGGGTAAGGAAATGCACTGTCAATCCACCAGTTGCTCCAAGGGGAGATATGGACAATCTCCTCCCATTTTATTTAATGCCTCTGAAAACTCGTAGCTATGGGTTAGTTCTGACTCAAAAGGACACACCATCAACAAGATGTTATTGTTGTTAGGTGCTGCTGAAGTTAAGACTCAAAGAGATCTCATGAAGAACAGATTTAAACCCTGTCCTATCCTGCGCCATTCTCATCATCTCTGATATAATTGAGCCCATTGGTGCAGTGACTGTGTCAATCCATTTCTTTGAGGGTATTCTTCTCTTTTTGCTGATTCTCTACCTTTCTAAGCATGATGTCTATCATAGCAACATGCACAAAATATGCAAGACGAAGATTTGTCATCTTGCCTCCGTCTGCACTTTTTCCAAGACACATACATCCATTTGTTCTTTTGACAGGCTATGGGATATTCAGTACTCTTTTGTTCTTTTGATAGGCTATGGGATATTCAGTACTCTTTTCCAGCACTGCAACTCAAAGGCATCATTTCTTCTTCTGTCTTGCTTATTCACTGTCCAGCTCTCAGAAGTACAGCAAATGATGGAAAGACAATGGCCTGACGCACATGCATCTTAGTTTTCAAACTAACATCATTGCTCTTTACCACTTAGGAGAATTCTCTGACAGTGGACTTGATGGATATGTCTCCTGATTCCCTGACTGCTAATACAAAGGGTATTAAATGTGAATCTAAATAAGATGAAAATGTTGAAAAATTTAATCTTTCTTCCATATATCATGATGTTGTCTTCTTGATGTTGAAATGCAATCTGTTTCTAAGGCTGTAATCTTTGATCTTCTGCAGCAAGTGCTTCAAGTTCTCTTTACTTTCAGGAACCAAGGTTGCATCATTGGCATAACTTCTACTGTTGATAGGTCTTCCTCTGGTCCTGATGCCACATTTCTTTTCATAGGGTCTAGTTTCTCAAATTATTTGCTTGCTATGTAGTTTAAATAGGTATGGAGCAACGATACACTCCTGATGTACACCCTTCCTAATTTTAATCCATGCAATGTTTGCTTGTTCGGTTTGGACAACAGCTTCTTGGTCCATGTGTAGGTTTTATATGAGCATAATTAAGTGTTCTGGGATTCCTATTCTTTTTAAGTTAGCCATAGTTTGTTATGATCCACTTAGTCAAATGCTTTTGCATAATCAATAAAGCACAAATAGACATTCTTCTAGTACTCTCTGCGTTTGGCCAGATCCATTTGATATCAGCAATGACACCTCTGGTGCCATGGCCTGTTCTTTTTTTTATTATTAAATTTTATTAGTTTTAATGAACATTTACAGAGATTCTGGGTTTTCATTCATTCATTGTTGCACTGTTTTCTCCACCCTCCTCCCCAGTT